CCAAACCCAGGGCCTTGGTGTTATCAGCACCACACTCTCCCAAGTGAGCCACAGGCTGGCCTTATAATTTTTTCTTTCCATATTTATGACCTATTAATACTTTGTAAGGAACTTTCCCTCATCAATTTGGGATATTTTTTTTTTCCTGAAATGTTATTAAAGGCAGGATAAATGCTTTTTTCCTTCAGTGCCAGTTTTTCAGTAATGAGTTGGTACCTTCAACACCTCCAACCTACCCAAGGATGGACAGCTTGTACTTGGATTTTTTCTTTTTTAAGCCAGTCAAATTTAGCAGTGGGGGTTGTAAACCAACTTTAGTGCCACTAACGTTAATAAGTTCTGATAACCCACTACCATCAGACCAGCCTGTACTTGGATTTTGAGTTAACCTAGATACTTAATGCTGTTTTCCTTTGTTTTCACTTAATTCTATAATTCTTTGCTTATTCCCCGCTAGTGATTTGCAAAGCATAATCCTACTAGTGATTTTTATTTTTTTAAATGTAAAAGTAATGCATGTGCAATGCAAAAATGACAATCAAAGACGGTATAAAATAAAAAATAAAACTGCCCTCAGTCCCTTCCAAATGCCTTTGGCTCAGCCTGTTCTCAGTTGTTCGTTGTTATTCACTACAGGAAAGGCTCCCTCAAATGCTAGGGATGTCAGTCTATGAACAGCATGAGTTCTAACCATGCTCCAAAAGTAAATTGGATTTGTCTCAAATTCTCCACATTTTCACTTGGCTGTTGCTTGAATCCTTAGATCTTCAGCTGGATAGCTGGGTGCCAGCTGAGTGATTCAGCAATCTGGGGGGAGGGTTGTGTGGTACTCGCTTTTCTGTTTCATACATTAGAGGCCCTCTGGCCTAGCTACCAGTGAGCTTCTCAGATCATCCCGATTGTTACGACTAAAGCAACTGTACATGGAACAGACCCTGCTCCTCGGCTACCTTCAATCTTCCACCCAGCCCCTACCCTACAAGTTAGGGGGGCACCCGGACTCTCCTCTGCTTACACTGCCTAAGGCCACACTGCTTTCTTGAGAGTCATCAGCCATTGTTGCTCTCCTCCAATAAAGTCCATCTGCAAGGCAAGGAAATGGATTTTCCTCTATTGCCTCCAGAAAGAAAGTCCTGCTTTGTCCTTGATTTTAGCCCATTGAGGCCTGTGTTGGATTTGTACCCTACAGAACTTGAATAAATAATAAATTTGTGTGATTTTAAGCCAAAAAAACCCCCCAAAAATTTAAAAATTAAAAAAAAATAAAGTCCATCTGCAGTATTTGGCAGAAATGTCACGAAGTTTTTGGCTTGTCCATGATACCCTTTCCTTTTTTTTTTTTGTCCTTTTTGAGGCAGGCCGCACCGCGCTCAGCCAGTGAGCGCTGTGAGCGCACCGGTCATCCCTATATAGGATCCGAACCCGCAGTGGGAGCGTTGCTGCGCTCCCAGCGCCGCCCTCTTCCGAGTGCGCCACGGGCTCGGCCCATGATACCCTTTCCTATGCAGGCTTTTCCTACAGGATTTAAGCCAAGTCAAATGTCTTCACATTGATTCCTTTCTGATCCAGAAATTTCCCAGGTTTCCTCATTTAATTTTCACTACAATCCTGATGTGAGAAAACTAAAGTCACAAAGCAATATAAACAATTAGCCTTAAATCAGCAATTAAGTGGTAGGCATTCCAAGTCCCAACATGAAGGGCAACTCCTTCCACCACCTCACCCCACCTCATTTTACTATTATTTTTCAGGCTAGTCAAGCAAAGCAGGGGGAGTGGAGAAGGAACACAGAAATCTATATCTGGT